GGGAATTGGAGATTAGTTGAAATTCAAACTTTCTGACTGGAAAGGAGGCTTGAGTTGTTTCTATTGATCTTACTCAGACTGAACAAGTCAGCTTCCCTGGGAGGGCCTTCTTTGACGGGGTTGAGGAAGCTACTTGTATTCCTCATGAGAGAGGAATAACATTCAGGAATAAGATTTACTGTGGGCAGACCACCTCTGCGGAGTTACTGTGTGCCCTGCTGGGGCAGTGTGTACCACACTTTAGCAAGGACTTTGATAAACTGCAGAGTATCCAGAGGGAGGTCAAGAGCCTGAAATATTCTGTATGAGGAGCAGTTGAAGGAATTAGGGGTGTTTAGTTTGGAGCAGGGAATACTTGAGGAGAAGGTTATCTTAACTACTTTCTGTCCCAAAGAAGAGGGTATAAAACTGTTCAACTTGCCCCAGAGGGCAGAGCTAAGACCAATTAATAGAAGTTACCAAGAGGTTTGATAGAAAAAAAAAACTTCCCAGCAATTAAAACTATACAAAAATGGAATGGGTTGCCAAGGGATGTGGCAAGTTTTCTCTCACTTAAAGTCATCAGCTAAAGACTGAATGAATCCTCCTCAGAATGTGTAAAGTATTTTTTTTTAGGTAAGAATTGGTTTAAATGGCCAATGAGTTCCCTTCCAGCTCTGAAATTCTGTGATTGAATTATTGTGAAGATATTATTAAGACATAACTTCTGCTTTCTAAGACTTTGCCATCCAAGATGGGCAGCACAAATAAAGACACATGTATAAGGTCCTCTTACACATCCACCTAGACTATAATATATAACAATATCCAAAACTAGAGCTCTGGATTAGGTTCAACCTTAAAGGCTTAGCTCATAATAATTTTGGCTATAATGCTTAAGACAAGTCAACCAAACGGCCTAGATATAGACTATACAATTTTGGGTCAATGATTTAGATCATGAAAAGTTAAAGATGAAGGGGGCAGTCTGACTTATGGACTAGAAGACTGATTGAATTGTGAGAAAACCAGAGAGCAGAGCTAGAACCAAAGGACCGGAGTATAAGCAAGGGAGCTCCAGGTGTTGTTCCTAAGGGCACTAAGGTAACTTACAAGCATTGGGTTGGAGAGTTGTAGATGAAGAGAATTGGAGGGAATGTCTTCTTTAAAGGCTACTGTATGGAATTTCCAGTAGGGAGATGGGTACTAAACGTCTCAACAGAACAAGAACTAGCTTCTTTCTTCCAAACTGAAACTCCTCTGTTTCTAACCAGGCCTTTTTGATTTGTTTCCTTGGGCAAATATACTTGGACAAAGAGAAAACCTGGAAAACCTTTTAGACCCTGCCTCCAGCCTTCTCTTCCTAGGAGTGGGATGGAACAAGGACAGGCCATGAAAAACATGACACTTTTATTCTGCTCTGCATAGTTGGGAAGGAGACGGTAGGCATCATTATCTTCTCTTTACCAACACACAGACAGGCCCAGAGAGGTTAAGTGATTCACATGGGACCATGAATGAGTCAGGGCTGGAGTTGCTAAGAGAACACACTAGGTCTCTGGCTGCCTCTTCAGTGGGCTCCACATGAAACCATATGGCTTTAGCTTAATTAAAATAGATTAAACAAGGCAGCCAGCACATGCACCACTGGCTGTTATTTCATTAATTCTAGCATCCATCTATACCCAATCAAAGAGAAATCTGCTTTGCAATTATCACCCTAATGATATGTCCTTTATGTTTACATTCACATAAAATTTATTTTCTCCATTGGAAAGGCAGGCAAATGGAAGCCCTCTACCTCTCTAAATAATAGTCCTTAAGATTCCACAGTGCAGTAGATTAAAATGCAATGACATATTCCCCTAACAGTAGTTTAGTTGCAGTTTTCAGTGAAAGTTTTGTGGCTCTCTTGAGGATTATTAAAGGGTTGTTGTCGTTATTTAGTTGTGTCTGACTCTTTGTGACTCCATTTCTTGGCACAAATACATTTCCTTCTCCAGCTCATTTTACAGATGAGGAAATTGAGGCAATTGAGGTGAAGTGACTGGCCCAGGGTTATACAGCTAGTAAGTGTCTGAGACTGAATGAGTCTTCTTGACTTCAGGCCCAGTACTGTATCCACTGTGCATCCTGGCTACCATACTGAAGTGGTAGTGAATTACAAATATATGGTTTTAAGTGAATTTCATTGTATACTTTACAATACAAAACATAGGTTCTCCCTCTTAAGAACTGGGTGGTGTCATGTAGGGAGAATTCTGGACTTAGGTTAAAAGACCCTGGATTTGACTCCTGGGTCTTCTGTTTACTATCTCTGACCTTGAGCAAGTTATTTCTTTTTTTCTGGACTCAGTTTCCTTACTTGTAAAATTGGAAGAGAGAAAGATTGGCTAGATTACTTTTACAATCCTTTCCAGCTCTAATCTATCACTTACTTCCTTATGAGAGTCCTTTTCAGATGCAACATGGTGTAGTGTATAGATAGCTGGCTTTGAACTTAGGAGCACCTGGGTTCAGTGTTCATCCCTTCTATACATACTGGCTATATGATTTTAGGACAGTCACCTAATCCAGGGCAACTCTCTAAGATTATAAATAACAGAGAAGGTACTGATCTGTTTTGTTAGATTTATTGATGAAATCACAGATCTATCCTTTTTTCCCACCTGAAAAAGAGAGTGAGAGTGACAGACAGACAGACACAGAGATAGAGAGACACAGAAAGACAGAAAGAGAGATTCCAAAAAACATTCTAAAGATGATACACTCAAATAATCCCTTTATACTGTTCAATTCTCAGAATAGAGACAGAGGAAGGTCCCTCTGAGCATGAAGAGCAGAGCTCATGGCCCACTGGAAGAAGGGCCTGCAAAATCTCCCAGGTTCAGCCAGAACCAGATTAAAATGCAATTGGGAAATGTAATAAAAATATAATACAATGTAGATAATATTAATTTCAGGTTTTCTAAGTCAATATATGGCTGCAGGGATCTGATTCTATTTGAGTTAGGCATCACTTAGAAGACTTCAGGTCTTAAGACCTGAGTGAAGTCAAAGCAAGAATATTCTACCTACTTAATCGTGGACTGATCAGGCTTCCCTAACCTGGTCCTTTAATTTTATGTAACCCAATATTTTTTAACATTCTCTTCAGTAATAGGCTATACCAATTTGGGTTATGTATTTGGAAATGACATTTGTTTTCTTAGATTTGGGGCTTAGAGAGAGAAAACAAAGAGATAGAAGATGGGAATGCTGGTTGGTGAAATATCTATAAGACAATTGCCAATTCTATGCACATATTAGACTCTAGAGTCACTAAAACCATAATGTGTATTATATATATTCACCTTGCAAGGTGAACTCTTTTTCCTCTGGTATTAATGTTTTCACATATACATCAAGGAGCTTCCTCCAACCTTGCAGATCTATAATTTGGTACAGTGGCCTTGAAACATTTTTGAGCATTCAAAAAAAAATCAGGGTTTTTAAAAAATTTTGTTTTATTTTGTTGGTGCAGGGCACCCCTCTGGTTTTCTTCAAGATTGTTCTAGAGTCTCCACCTGAACAAAATTTTTCCTTGTCTCCTCTGTCCACAGGGCCTCACTAGCTCTACATAATGCACATAATCTATCACATATATAAGAAAATGTTTTTATGACGGATAAAGTTTGCCCCAAGACTCCTCTAGTTTCAGTTTCTTCTTCTCTCTATAAAGTAACGCAAATTTCAGTAGCATTCAGATTGGTAAATTCTAATCCTATGCCTTCCTACTAACCTCCTTTCTAATTTGGGGTGTCACATCTTTTTCAGTTTTTTCCTCTGCAATGTTACTGACCTATCAACATCATGGCATTGTTGTGAGAAATGACTAGTGAATATGTTTGTAAAATGCTTCACATATATCAGGTGACAGAAACACTGAATAACAGAATTCTATGGACTTTTTTTGCTTTATTGCATAAAAATACCTTTTATTCCCCAGCTAGAAGAACAGGTGTGGTGGCTCCCCTAATACTGGTTGAATATTGTTAATGACTATGTTCTACAATGTTAAACCTTCCTGCTTATTATTATAATCATTGATGAAGTCTTAGTTGAATTGTACTGTGTAGCAGACCTGTATAACTGGTAGAACTTGGTTAATTCTGTAACAGATGAAGAAAGATGGCTAAATGATCTCAAAAGTCCCTTCTATCTCTAAAATTCGTTGGTTTTATGTTTCAGAAACTCTAAAGAACTGACTTCTTTTATTAAAGATGAACATCTGGAAAGCTTCTTGAATGACAGAAAATGATTGCTATTATAAAATATGTTCATTTGCAAATATTTTATGGTAGGTTCCACCCAAGAGGCTAGTCATACTGCCTTGTTTCTTATCCTCTAATAAGAGGATATTCTGAAAAAAGAATATTGAAATATTTTACTTCCTTCAAACATGAAAAAAAAACCCTGAAATAATTTGCTTCATTGCATTCTTTATTCATAGGAACAATGGTAGGAGATTTAAAATTCTCATATTTTCTTCCCTCCCCCCTCCCCCAATCCTTCTATCCAGGGAAACAAGTTTTGTTCAGGTGGTATCTTTGTGCCTCATACCATATAACAAAATGTTCCATATGTCAATATTTGCATAACATATCTCTGAACTGTCCCTCTTAATACATGTACACTTAGGACTTTTCTCTCCTGAAGGAGCACTTTTCCTTCAGGGTGCCTAGATTCCTTCTTATACTTATGCATCACCTTTCAAGATGGACAGCCTTTCCAAACTCAGCTTTTTTTTTTTTTAAAGTAATGGTTGGATACTCTCCCAGTTACATAGAGGAACAGTTGCACTATTTCCTTGGCATCAACAAAATGTGTTGATAGGTATAATTTTTGGCACAATAAGGCCATAAATTGCATAAAGAATTCACCTGGGACAGAAGTTTCAGTGACTCTGGTGCTTTTAATTGAATTGCTATTTGTTCTAGGTGGCACCCTATTTCACACTACTCACCTCCTCCTCCCTGAGTGACTCAGCCATTGAGGGAGAAGCCTCCAAACTATTCATTAAAACAGTCAGATAGAGGTTGATTCCACCTCCAGTCATCTTTAGCTACACCTCAGTTTCGGGTTGGGGAACCACTCCAACCATCTACTTACGAAGCCCTGGCTCTCTGCTAAAGGGAGGTAAGGTGAATTCTACCAGTGCAAATAAATGAGATAGATTTCTTGCATCAGTTAGCCTTCTCTCCAACTGGAGCTCTTACTCGTGAACTTTTCCTTTCACTTAAGTTTTGACTGATTTGTTCAGCCAGCCTTTACAGAGTAGCTCTTTCCCATTGGTAGTTCCTGTGGTTTTTTAGATCATACTGTGTCTAGTTTCTTTGCACCTTTATATGTTGTTAGGTATCATGACAAATAGTTTATTCAGTTTTTATTGTGAGAGATTTCATCTGGGGAATCCTGACCAACTACGGATCACATCTTTTAAAAGGAAGGGCTAGACTAGCTCTCACTAGCTCATTTCTCAACTCTGCATACTTAATAATTAAACAACAATCTCTGTTTTGGTAGATGATAACTTCAGTAAAATTATTTAAACAAGTATTGTTCAGTTACTGGTAGCCTTGTTATTCTTGATCTAAGCAATTTGATGCTTATCCAGATATCATAGACAGATGCCAAAAACAAACAAACAAAAAGTACACCACTAGTCTCTCTTCCAGGCTAGACCAAAGGGTGAGGATGGGGTGGCTTAAAGATTTTTTTCTTTCATTTTCCTCCAGATTTTTCTGCATGGATTGCCAACTGCCTCACATAAAATCTGGAGTTCTAACCTAGCAGGTGATTAATTTGGGGGGGGCATTATCCAACTTCTGTTTCTTGTTTCAGGACAGAAATATCCCCACCCAAGGCCTGAAAAACCAGTTTTAGAAGCTCTTTGATATGAATAGGCAAATTATTTTTTAACAGTATTTTTTTTTAATTTGGTAGTTAGCTTATTTTCCTTCCTTCTGCCTGGTTTTGTCCATCATTAACATTTTGACGTAGCATTGTAGGAATTAGGCCCAGAGTATCCTGGTGTGTTTGGCTAGCAGGAAAGTATTCTTCAAGGGGGATGTCCTGGAGCCACAGTGTATGCTTACTTAAAACCACCAGAGACAGAGATTTTGTGGTGTTTACTGGAGTCCATGGAGAAGATCTCCAGACAGATATGCTCAAATCACAATGTTTTATTAAAGAATTTAATAACTTGTCCTTGAATGAATGAAAGCATTTTAAACATTTGCAATAGCCCCAAAGTTAAGAGATAGACTTTTATGGTTGGAATTTTACAGTAAAGTGGGGTTTTTTAAAATTTGTTTATTTGTTTGGTTTTTTTACTTTGAAGGTGTAAAAAACAAAATTATATTTTTTTCTTCCATATTTGTGGTCTATCCTGCAGGCATGGCATTTTTAGGTTGATTTTTACTATATTTTATATGTAACATATATATGTGTGTATGTGTATATATATATATATATATATATATATATATATATCTATATCCTTCAAGTATTTAAAAAAAATCTAAATGTTACTCAGTGAGATTTTCTTTGAACTCCATTTTTAGGAGTTACAAAAAACATTTAGCTAAAAGCATAACAAGTCAGTAAAAACATCTAGATGTTTCCAAGCATCTGGATCTTTTCATTATATAGAAAAATTACCCAGGTTTTGGGCTGCTTTTCCATTTTGATTGAATTCTTACATTATTTATGCAAGCTAAATCATAGAATAATAAAATGTTAGAGGTGAAAGGGATCTTAGACATGCTCTTATCCAGCCTTCTCATTTTATAGATGACAGTGTAAGGAGTAGGGAGGTAAAATGATTTGCCCAAATCATACATGAATTAGTGGCACAGCTGGAACGAGGATCCAGGTTTCCTGATTCCTTAGTCTTTTTTTTTCCTCATAACAATTTGATTCCTTTTGGTCTAGACTCATGACTTTCTCAGTGTTAATTGCTCATGGTGAATAAAAATGTCTAGTAACAAAAATGCAACATAGTGAGAGACACATTGTTCTGAAGTCAGGAGACCTGGGTGCTGGTTCCACTTCTGCCCATAGCTTCCTCCTTAGTGTGGCCTTGACAAATCATTACCTTTAACTTTCTCATACATAAAATGAGGGATTTGGATAGTCTCCTTTTAAAGTCTTATTCTAGCATTAAAGTCTCATCTAACATTCTCTGATTCTATAATTCTAAATAAACAAAATTCCACCACTGGAAAAGAATTATAAATCATGTGGACATTGGAAATTCCTTAGCCTGAGTTATCTTAACGTGTTACTGTAATATATGGAGCAAGCGTATAAAGTAATGAAATTAACTTTTAAAGTGTGACTTGTAGATTGGGTCTTGTCACTTTATAGTTGAATTGTAAAAGCCCAAATGTCATGCTGGATTTTGGACTTATGAGAAGTTAATTAGCTCCTCAGGGTAGAGCTGAGGTACTGTTATTAGATTTTCTTGTTGTTGTTGTTGTTTGCTAACCAGCCTTATAAAGAACATGTGTATATGTGTATTGTACATATGTATACATCTATGTAAATACCACCATTAAGTTGGAAGGTATGTTTGGTGAATATCCATTATGTGAAATATGTGTTACTGACTACTAGGCCTGAGAATCCTATCTTCACTGAGATTTTTATCTATAAAATGAAAGGACTAGATGAGGTAATTGCTATCATCCTTTGTTCCTCTAGATCCCATGATAAGGTGACTCCAGATAATACTTTAAGTGTGCCTGGATTTAAACTTCTTGAGGTCAATAAAAGAATCATTTTCATTTTAAATCTCTTTGAGACAGTATTGAGGAAATGATACTTCATTGTGTTGCTGAACATAAAAGCTTTATCTTCTGTTAAATGAGTCTAGCTGTTAATCTTAAAAAGCAAAATTCTATTCATACCAAAGCTGGGTGATGGTGGTGGGGTGGGGTGATCATGAGTTCCTAAAGAAAGGTGGGGAACTAACTTGTAAAGGGCACTTTGGGCTCAGCCTCTTTTCTTGGAGCAGGTTGGGTGAGTTTCAAAAGATTTTGAGCAGCTGAGAAATGCATTAGACTTTCAGGTGGTCAGAAACCTGATGGATAAGCCAGATGATTCCTCTTGACCTGGTTATTTGTTAACAGATCTAGTTTTGAGTCCCTCCTCACCACGTAATCTTTGTCAAGTAGATTGCTTCTGGACTTCCATTTCCTTACCTGTGAAATGGGGAGAATAATGTTTGTAGTACCAAACTCACAGGGTTATTGTGAGGAACTGCTTTCTAAAAGCCAAAGCACTATATAAATTACTGTTATTTGAGGAAATAAGATATTAAAATGGGCTGTTTTACAGATTGATGAGTTTTGAAAATTATTTCCTTTGAATGTACATTTAAAATTATTCAACAAGTCTTATGGGGCTTATTGTTAGAAGGAAATTTAATTGGTCCAGACCATTTACTTTTCATAGAGCCCTGGTGATTATTTACATTATTTCCTAGATTATTTACAGTATTTTCTATGAGGTAGCTGAGTGAGTAAGTAATGTTTTATTCTTATCTTCCATAGATTCAATTAAACAAATTAAAAAAAACATTTATTGTATCTACTACTTAAAAGGTACTCATAAATATAGGATAAAGAAAAAACAAAGATATGGCCTGATTCAGGCCTGTCTGGTAGCTAAAGTTTGAGACTGGAATAAATGGAACACTCTTAGAATGTCTGAGAGGTAGTAGTAGCAGGGAATATTCAGTGAGGATATGGCATAGAGTCAAGTGGATAGAGATTCCAGGTACCTGTATTGGTCTGTCAATTGGAAACCCTAGGGATAATCCAGGTGACTTCTTATGCCCTGGATGTTTGTATGTTGGCCATTAAGGAGCTATAGCAATGGCCTTCATTCTCTTCTGCCACCTAAGAAGTCCAGTAGATAGAGTGCTGAGCCTGGAGTCAGAAAGACATGAGTTCAAATTTGAGCTCAGACATCTAGTAGCTATGTTGCCCAGGGCAAATAATTAATACTCTATCTGTCTCAATTTCCTCATCCGTAAAATAGAGATAATAACAGTCCCTGTTTTGTAGGGTTATTATTAGAATCAAATGATCTGGGTTGGAGTCAGAAAGATCTGAGCTCAAAGGTCACCTCAGATATTTGTTAGCTGTGTCATCTTGGGAAGGTCACTTGACTGCCTCAGTTTCCTCACCTGTAAAAGAGGGTTGATAATAGCTCTTCCTCCTACGGTTGTTGTAAGAATCAAATGATATAATATTTGCAAAAAGTGCTTATCAGAATACCTGGTACATAGTATGTGTTAGATAAATGCTGGCTATTATTATTATTGAAATAATATTTTTAATGTGCTTAGCATAGTACCTGGCACATAGAAGATACTATTTAAATGCTAATTATTATTATCACTCAATCAGAACATATTTATAAAATAATATTATAAATTATAATACACAACATAAAATAATCTATATCATAATATGTTATATCTATTATTTATATTTATAAAGCACAGTGCCTGACACACAGTAGGTACTTAATAAATGTTGTTTGTTTTTCCCCCCTTCCCTTACCCATTCTTGAGCTAGATAAGCTTTCAGTATGGTTTCAATAACTTTTAAGAAAAAAGTTAGCTTAGCCTATGTGGGAGAAGGCCATAGAATGTTGTTTCTACTACAGAGTCCATCTTCAAATATCTTGTTTTCTTTTGGGAGAAAAAGAAGGGATCTGACACATAGAGCAAGAATGAAACATGATAGAGATGAGAGCAAAGGCGAGGCTAGCTCAGTTTAACTTAACATTTATTAAGTGCCTCATATGTAGAGGTGGTACAGTGGAGAGAGTGCTGGTCCTGGAGTCAGGAAGACTCATCTTCCTGAGTTCAAATCTGGTTTCAGATACTTACTAGTTGTGTGACCCTGGGAAAGTCACTTAATCCTGTTTGCCTCAGTTTCTTCATATGTGAAGTAAGATGGACAAGGAAATGGCAAACCACTCCAGTGTCTCTGCCAAGAAAAACCCAAATGGGGTCACAAAGTTGTATAGGACAGAAACAACTGAACAGCAAGTGTAGAGGGGCTTTTGTTAAATGACAAGACACCCACTTACTTCAGGGAGCTTCCATTAGATTGCAAGAATACAACCAATACACAGATAAATAAATACCAAGTATAAATAAGGTCATTTCAAGTGGGAAAGGACCCTAACAATAAGGTTGAGGGATGAGGGGGGAATCAGGAAATGTCTCCCACAGGAAGTGGTATTTGAGCTACATATTTCTAAGGAAAGTAAGGATTCTAAGAGAAGGGAATATATACCAGACATGGGGGATTCCTTGTACAAAGACATGGAGGGAAGAGATGGAATCGTGTATAGGAAGATTAGTTTGCAGATTAGTTTTACTGGAATGAAGAGTGCATGAAGGACAGTAACATGAAATAGGACTGAAAAGACAGTTGGAAGGCCTTCAATTAAGGTTGAGGATTTTTAAATTTGATCCTAGAGATAATAGGGAGCCACTGAAGTTTTTTTGAGTAGGGAGAGTGTCATGAATATATCTATGTTTTAGGAATATCAATTTGGTAGTTGTGTGGGGGACAGAAATTATAGAGGGGTGAAATTAGAACAAGGGAAACCAATTAGAAGGCTTTTTTTTTTTACATAGCCCAGGAGAGAGGTGATAAGATCCTGAACAAGCAATTGGCTATGCAAGTGGAGAGATGGGGATGTGAGAAATGTTGTCTAACTGACAAGTCTTGGCACCTGGCTGAACGTGGAGGGTTAGGAAGATGAAG